TTCTTCTCATCGCATGGTAACAGAATAGTTCAAATGAATAAGAGTCATCCAATACCTTAACCTCGTAGAAGACATTAACATGAGTCTCAGGCAAAGCACGTGCATCCCTTGAGGTGATTATTATACGGCTTCCCTCATGGAACCATTCTCTTTTTCCTATTAGAGTATCGAGTTGCTTCACATCATCCACATCATCCAGGAATATCAGAACTCGATATCGATCAACTGTTCTTTTGAAAGCAGGAATATCGTCACCAACAACTACTTCAGAGGAAATATCTCTGATAATTTTGTTTCTTAAAGCAATTAAACCTCCATCTTTGGAAGAAACTTCTCTAACACTTGAGATGAAGCTGCGATGCTTAAAATGCCCAACGAGTCTGTTAAAAAGAGCCTTTGCAAGGGTTGTCTTGCCAACCCCACCCATCCCGAACAATCCCAATACTCTTACGCCATTGGATTTCATGCCCAACGATGCCAATAGTTCTTCAATACGAGCATTGAGTCCAACAGTAAATTCAGTCAAACCAACCGGAGTATTAATTAGTTCTTTCAGAATCCTTTGTACTAAAAGTCCAATTAGATGGTCTTCTTGGCTATAACAGGAAATAAAGTAAACCACTAAGTGAAGTCAGAATGGCTAAAAAAATAGAACATAGCGTAGAGAAAAGTAGGAAGTTGTAAATAGATGTAACTCGTGAACTGATATAAATCGCCACTGTTTAGTATTTACATCTACCTACTCTTCCCTACGCATAGTAATACTCAGTAACAGAGAAGACCTGGGATTCTGGAAAACCCAACCAGCAAGTCCACCTACTTTCTTCATAGCTTTCCTCCACCTGATTACCTCATCTTCGCTCCTCTTGGCTTTATGAATTTTGAAAGAATCTTCAAATGGACCTGTTTGTTCGAGGACATCAGTGGGGCCTACGTAGTAGAACACCGGCAGAATCAGTCTTCCGCAGTCGCAAATCTTGGCAAGCTCCTCCAGACACCAATGAGAAGAGGCGTAGTCAGGAGAGATGATGATGATCGAAGCGGCCGAGTCATCGATGGCTTCGAGCAGACTCGGAGCTATCTGGTCCCCGCGATCCAACCCAACATCGTCCAGGAAAACTCGAACGCCGCGAGATTGGAGCGCATTGTAGAGGGGTTTTGTGAGGCAATCACGACTATCCTCACCTCTGAAGCTCAGGAAGACGTCCCAACGGAGCCTGAAGTCTCCCGGAGTCGACGACATGACGTGGCCTTCCGGTGACATTTCTGTGTGACGAGTCTGTATTGCTTTTGTGGTGGAGAGCACTTCCAGAACTGTATGGACTGTGACTTCACGAAGATAATACAGATACTTTCCGGTGGAATTGGGGCAAGTTCCGGACGGAATCGGATTCTGAATGTTTATCGTCGAAGAGGGGGCAATTTCGAATTCTCTGCGCACTTTGCTTTGAGTGGAAAGGGGTAGACTTCTTAACAGATACTTTCCGGCGGAATTGGGGCAAGTTCCGGACGGAATCGGATTCTGAATGTTTATCGTCGAAGAGGGGGCAATTTCGAATTCTCTGCGCACTTCGCTTTGAGTGGAAAGGGGCAGACTTCTTAACTGTTCAAATGCAACAACTGTATCTCTTGTGCCGTTATAAACGGTTCTATCACGGCGATTCCTGTTCAGTGCCTTAGTGGTCGCCGTACGTACGAGAAGGGAAGGTTTCCACCAGGACCCAACATTAAAATGATTTTTTGTCAATATTATTTCAAATCTTGGAGATTTAATCTATTTTTAAATATAAGATCTCATTCAATTTTTTCTCCAATGCTTATTGATTTTGTCTTCAAGTAATCCATACAGTGATTACCACTTTATTCCTATTTATAAGTCATTTGTGGGGGAAAAATTTATTTCCAAATGCAAGTTATTTGTAGGGTAATTAATAAGCTTTGTGTAATTTTATCCCTATTAATTTAATAAATGCAGAGAATGATAAAGTAAATAAGTGAGAGAAAATATAAAATATATTTTTAATATTATTTTATTTTTATTTATAAGTCACCCATATCCCAAACTTGCAAACTAAGAAATGTATTAAATTGCTAAATTTTCCACATGTGCCATTACTAAAGAATGAGTATTAAAACTATGTTTTATATTTTTTTCAACCTATTTACTTTGTCTCTCTTTATGTATTTATTACGTCAACATGAGTAAAATAAGAAAAAAAGCCATTAATTACCCTATAAGTGACTTATAAATAGGAATAAAGTAGTACCTTTTTTTTTTAATAAGTGCAAATGTGAAAAAAAATTATTAATTTAATGCATTTCTTAGTTTGCGAATTTGGAGTATAAATAAATGATAAATAGGAACAAAATAATATACATATTAAGGAGTTTTTATTATTGGTCGTCTCAATGGACATTATTAACAAAAATATTTTAAGAAAGATAATATCAGTTTATTACAAACAATTAACTAAGTAATTTTTTTAACATCCATAAATTAATTATTTAGCTCTTATATTACATACAAGACACCCAGCCCTGCAACAAGAGAGAGTAGAGGAGAGAACTTATTGCCAGAAAAAAGAAAAAAAGAAGAGGGTAAATTTGAAAAATGGCGTAATAATAGTTTGCAAAAAATATGATCATATGAGCCAAAAGTTAGCCATCCAACACAACTAATGTAAAAGTTAACAAATACAGCATCAAGGTTAGCCCGCATCAGGAAGTAAAGTAGCTTTTCAATTGCTTCTGATCCAAACAATGAATTTTCCCCTAATGCCCACTAACGCACGTTGTCCAATTTCCTAGGCATGTTTTTAGTCCCAAATGGAGATCCAAACACCTCCAAAGTTGTTCATGAATAAAATATATGAAAGCATAATGGTAGTAAAATCCCGCCTTAACATAATTTTTGTCTCTAAGGCTTTGTTTGGTTCAATGGAGGGGAGGAGAGAGGAGGTTAATTAAAGGAAGGGGAGGGGAGGTCATGGGTTTTGTTTGGTTGGAGGGGAGGGGAGGGGAGATTTCTTGTTTGGTTTACAAGGAGAGGGGAGGGGAGGAAATTATAAATTAACAAATATGCCCTTATCTCTATATTTAGACTAATTAATTCTTTTATTACAACATTTATATCAAAATTATTATTTCCGAATTTATCAATTTCAAAAAAACCAATTACTTCACTTATATGTGATAAAAAAATTATGAAATAAAAGTATAATATATATTAGAAAAGTGAATGGGAGAAAAAAAGACAAGAGCTTAACTATATAATAATACCCTCCACATATTAGGAAATAAAATATATATGATATTAACAGTGTCATTTTATAATTATAATATATATTAATATATATAATTAATTAATATATTAACATATATGCATATTATATTTGTGTGTGTGTATAACTGAGCGACCGCGGAAGGGAATGCAAAGGTAATCATGCGAAACCAAAAAAAAAAAAATCAAGAAGTCACCACTGGAATATTCAAAAAATGGCATGGGCATATTTGTCAAGATTCTCATAATATTTCTCTCCCCCTCCCCCCAAAAACCCCCAATTTGGGAGGGGAGCACAAAAAGACAAATTTTTTTAACCCCCCTCCCCTCCCTTCCTCCCAACCAAACACATCCTCCCCTCCCCTGAAAAAGACCCCAACCAAACAAAGCCTAAAATTAAGACCTATTTTGAATTTGGTCTCTTAGATTACAAACTCATGATTTTAATTCATAAAATTTATTCATCTTAATTAGTTAGTCCTCCTGAAGATGTGACGATATTAAAATCAGATAAAGAGTTGAAAAATGTGTTAAAATAATGATATGAACTCACTAGACGACACCTAACTGAATCTTGTATAGATAACACAAGGGAGAAAAAAAAAGAACAAGTCTTTAAAACACAATTGTTAAGCTGCTTTTTTTTTCCTTTGTTGTTTGTTTGAGAAATTGTTCACTACATCATGTTTTGAGAACTCGTTCCCCTCTGTTATTTGTATTGCCTTTTGAGGACCTATTTATTTTTTGTCCTTATTATCCACACAAAGTCCAATTAAGCGTTATTTGGTGAATTCACGTTATCATTTTAATATCGTTTACAATATTTTAGTAGATTTTAATATTGTTACATGTTTAAGAACTAACGTTTTACAACAAACTAAATTTCGGTGACTAAAACTATGGGTTTGGAATTTCAGCAATTAAAATTAAAATAGTATCAAAGTTGATGCACTAAAAATTATATTAACATGAAATCTTGCTTCTTTACTTCCATGGACCCATTTCAGTTCTTCCATGATTTTTATGCAAGGGAGTTTCATATGAAAGTGAGGTCCAACATATCAAACAAATTCTACGCCCACCCTCTAATCCAATTTCAATTTTCGCATATCAAATGGGGCTTGAACTTCCATGACACGTTTCCGAAACAATAATTTCTTCCCATCTCTTTGCCATTTGAATGTCTTAGAGTATTTACCCAGAACACCATGCCAAATCAACTGCTTATTATTATTTTTTAATCTGTGGAAAAAAAAAACTGTCTTCTAGTTCTGGTCTGCTTTGTTGAGCAAAACATTGACACTGAATCATAAAAAGGTCTCATAATGAGGCACGTCTAAAATTACCAACGATAACAGGTAACTGAAAAAAAGGGGTTATAACCCGTATATATATTCCGAAAAGTTTTCAAGTATTAGACATCTCAAAAATTTTTTAAGCAAATTTATTCCCAAAGTTTAAAACCTTATTAATGTTATTCTCCGTTAACGGTCAACTTTACTCTTTTAACGGTTAACATTAGTTTCCAAAAGCTTTTTTTGTATAAATTTTCTTTAAAAGTTTAAAATTATAACAATATTGCCCTTATCATTAAAAATGTTAACAATTAAAGTTACTATTTTAACAGTCCACGTTAGTTTTTCAACGACAATATTGTTATGATTTTAAAATCCGGGACCGGTTTGTACCCCAAAAAAAAAACCTAACACCCCGAAACAAATTTACATCTTAACCCAAAAAAATAAAGAGAAGTGAAGAGAGGCAAGAATTTAGGCAACCTACATAACACCTGGAACAATAATGCGGCTTTTGGCTCAAAAAACAAAAATGCGGCTTTAGCATTGTGACACGTAGCTCTCTCCTGTTACTTATTCCCACCTCCTCCTCTTTTTCTTGATAAAAGAATATTTGAAAGACATACCAAATGAAGAGGCTACAATTACGACGGGATGAAGACAAGACCATGCTAGAGACATGAGGTTATCCGCTTCAAGCACGATAATACTCTTTCTTCCTTCAGGCACTCTTCATCTCCACTCCCAATATCATCATCCATGGGGCCATCTTCTTCGTAAGTGTTGAAAAACTTGGCCAGCTTTTCTGACACAAATTGTAGGCTTCTATCCGCAGATTCTTCATCTCCATCATAATCGTCATCCCCTTCAAACATCAGATGAAACGCCCATTTTTTCAACTCCAATCTCTCATCCATAGGTTGGTTTTTCTTCGTCACACAAAATGTGTCCCCATCTCGCAAGCGAGAGATGAGTGGATGGTAGTCTGGGAATCTACAAAGGTACAAGTGTTCATCATTCGTTCTTGGCAACCCATGCAAGTCTAACACTGAACTATATATGTTTTTGCCCAGTCTGAGGACATTTGCTTTGATATCAACTACTCCGGAAAGTTCAACTGGCAGTTCACTCGGTGTTTCATGGTTGATAGAAAGAATGATACCCATAATTGCACCTGTTAGTTCACGGTTCTTGGGCTTCGAAAAGCTTACAGCTTGTCCTGAAAACCATTTGGGTAATCTGGTTCCTGGCATGCTCAAGTTCCTTAAATTCCTCATTGTAACCTGTCATTCAATAAGGTCAGTAGATTTTATCGAAAAGAAATGGGAAATTACCTTACTGACTTATCCCTAAAATGAACATGCAAGTATCCATGCATTTAATCTGTTCAATCTGTTGTCAATTATACTAGAGTAGCTATAACCATTTAGTTAAACTTTGCCTTAAACTTCTAGTCTTCATCCATTTATTTATTGATGACAGGAGGGGGAAAAAGAGGGAAAGACCAAACCTTAGAAAATCTCTTGCGGATTGGGAAGGAGCATGCAATGCACCCACCCAAGTACAAACTCCTCAAAGACACCAACCGTTCAAGACCTGGAATATCCACCACTTTTACACAATTCGTGAGGTTTAGATCCTTAAGACTTGTTAAATTTGAAAGGTCGGGAATGCTTTGTAAGGTACAGCAGTTTGCAGCATTCAGCTCTATCAAGCTTGAGGGAAGAGCAGGGAGAGAAACCAGCTCGATGCAGTTTTGAAGATGGAGCTTTTTCAGAATCGAAAGGCCGGCCAAACTGGAAGGAAGGCTGTGAAATTTGTTTTGGCTTAGATTCAAAGTCTCCAAAGACTTCAACTTCTCAAAATCATCAGGAATTTTTCCAGATATTCTCCAACAACGAGCGTCCAGATCATTCAGAAATATCATATTGCAGAAAAAAGATGAGATTACAGAAGAATCGTGAAGCAAGTTATTTTCAGACTTATTGGCCATTTTCAATGTTTGTAAGCTGGTAAGCATACCAAAGCTTTCAGGTAATTCTGTCAGACCTGTTTCCACCATCCCAAGATGACGCAAGGACTTCAAAGATCCTATAGAATCAGGAAGCTTTCTGAGCATTATGCATTTGTCCAACGTCAAATGAACAAGATTTTTCATCTCTTTGATGGAGTCTGGCAATTCTTCGATGTTTCCATTGGAAATGTCCAAGGTTGTAAGAGCTGCGAGGCGTCCAATCGATTCAGGTAGAGATCTCATCTGGCAATTCCTCATTTCAAGCTTTCTTAGCAATTTCATATCGCCAATTTCATCTGGCAAATAGGTGATCGCTGTCCCATCTAGCTGAAGCTCAATAACGGAAGCCAAATGCTTAATAGACTCAGGCAACTTTTTCAGAGACTTACAATATCCTACAGAGAGTTCGTTTAGATAAGACAATGATTCAATGGAAGAAGGAAGCTCTCTAATAGCACTTCCAGAAAGCATAAGTTCTGAAAGCGAAACGAGGTTTCCAACAGAATCAGGAATCTTAGTGAGAGAATAGCAATGCATCAAACCAAGCTTCTCTAGTTTTTTCAAATGCCCGACAGTTTCGGGTAGTTCTTCTAACCCAGATTTGTCGAGAGACAGCTCTTGTAGAGAGCACAAAAGTCCTATGTTATCGGGTAGTCTTTTTAAGTTTTGGCAACCATCTAAAATAAGAATTTCAAGTTTCTCAAGGTGAAAAAAAGTCTCAGGCAGCTCTGCTAAAGCCGTGCCATTAGCAAGAAGTTTTCTTAGAGATTTCCAGTTGGCTATGTTCCTTGGTAACGATTTTAACTTGCAGCAATCGGAGAGACACAGGCTCTCAAGATTTTTCAGCCCAGATAAATCATTGGGTAGCTCACTAAGTTCAGTACAACGAGTCATATTCAAATGACGAAGTGTGCTCAGACCGCCAACTGAGTCGTGAATCCTTCTTAGTTTAATGCAATTCACTAGAACAATCTTCTCTAAACATCTACAGCCAGACAAATCAGGAAGAGCCTCCAGGTGATAGCAATAGGAGAGGTTCATGACCATGAGGTTCTTGGGCACCTGCGAGCCAAGGTAAAAGTGTTGTTATATTATAGAATGTACATTAGCATCTTATAGTAATATAAAATACGGCTCAGGTCGTAATATAAAATAAGAAAGAGAATTGCCTCTGATTTATAAACAATAACGCTTAAACACAACTGACAGTCTAAAACACGAATAAAATAAAAGAAAAATGAGAAATTAGGAAAAAATCAAGTCTCTTTCAATAAGTTTTGCAATAAAATTAATTTGTTGACACAATTATTTTTTTAAAAAAGTCGTAAAGTGTCAATTGAGGAGTAAAAGTGTCACCCATAATTTTATTGAAAAAATATTAATAGCTCCATTAAACTCACACTTCAGTTTCTGTCTAAACTAAGGCACATCTTGTGGTAAAATTTTCATATCATTTGTCGTCAATGAAAAATTTCAGTACACAATAATCTTGTCGCACATCTTCATGGCCCGTGCTGTAGTTATTCTTACATTTATATGTGATAATTAGAAGATGTGAGGCCAGGGGGGGAAAAAAAAGATTTAATCAAATGCTACGCATGAGAATTGAAGCACGAAGAATACCTTGTATCCCTTCCGATTCCACAAATTCTCAATATAGCTGTGTGCGAGATCAAGGACAGCCAATTCTTGGGGCCAAAAATCAGAAGGCATGCACTTTAAAGGGCATCCTTGCCATTGCAGCCACTTCAATTCTGCAGGGAAAGATTTAAACTTCCCTTCCAACCTCAAATTATTGATCTGAAGCAGCACCAAGTTCACCATGGATTCAAAGGGCTTGGTTCGAAGCACTGTGACCTCTTTGTCCCTCTCAACTCGTTGAAAATATTTCCCGTGAATCTGTTTAAGGAATGACAGGGCATTCACGAAACTGGAACCAGATTTAAGGTTGCAACAAGAAATTGCTTGTTCGTTGTCTTTAGTAGATCTTTCCTCGAAGTCTAGCACCATCCCTCGAATACTACTAGATCCCTGCGGTTTCCAAAGCAGCAAGATATTTGACAATAACAAGAAGCATTATCCTATTGGATGGGAATAGTTACATGGATCACATCATGTCATTATTTGCTGTCAAGTATAAATAAGCAAAGTTTTGAATAAATTATTAATAAAAAATTCTCATTCAATAATTTCACCTAGATATTTTATAGCTAGTCCAAAGCCTAGATAAAGAATGAGGGCTATGTTAGGCCTTCTACGACACAGAGATATCTAACAGCACACACATATGTGTGTGTGCGCGCGCGCGCGCGCACTCATGAAATTGGGATTGTTATCAGAGGGCTGGACAAGACGCTATAAAGTGCTAACACTAAAATACAGTTAAGTTTGTGTCAAATACATTTTAAACAATATATAGTGTTTGTGTTGGTCTGATACATGCATAGCATGCAAAGTGACGACACATGTTACCGCATCGTATAATATTCAAATGAACAAAATCTAATTATATAATCTGTCATCGCTGCCATATAATATTCAGTCGCAGAGATTCTTTTTTCCTTTTGTTTGTCTTAGTCAATCTCACTGCCCACATAAGACAAGTAGCACGACGACATACATTCTTTTGTTTAACCCAAATGCATAAAAAACTATCATACAAATTCTTGACTGAGACCTTCGGTCAAAAAAAAAAAAAAATCTTGACTGAGACATGTTTTATAAAATTTAGCGGTTATCACCATTTAACTTTAATTCTTTTCGGAAAAACTCATTAACAGAATAACTTAGTTATCTAAATTAACATCAATTCAATTTAAAACATAACTATACACCGTTTTAAAATTTGTTAGAATCAAGTTATAATATTATAATAAGATCTTAGACACTAATAAATCGATGGAAAATCAATTCAGTTTCTCGCCCTAACAACGATGATATATGGGCGGCGAAGGATTTCACATAACTCAAAGAAGAACAATCTCCAAAACTAAAAGACCTCTTTCAGGATCCTTTACCTTCATATTCCTCAAAACAGCTAGAATTTCAGATCGATCCCACAATCGACCAGGCATACCCGGCTCAACGAGGTTTTCTTCCACATCAATTTGCCGTCCCATATCTCTAATTTCATCATGCATCCAAATGGTTTCGTCCTCTCTGATTTTGATCAAGCATTTTTCTGTGAGATCTGTGATTGCTATCTCTCCCCCATATCTACAGCCTCTTAGTACATCAATAACATCTTCTCGCTTCATCCTCATCGGAACGAACAGACAAGCAATGTCAAGGAAGATGCATTTCTCTTGCTCATCTAACCCCTCATAACTGATCCTCAGCACTTCCTGAAGATTCCAAGGTCGAATTACCTTCAGTTTCTCCTCAGCATCAACCCATTCCTTTTTTTCCCTTCTCTTACGAAACAACATTGAACCAAGCACTTCCAGAGCTAAAGGCAATCTTCGTGTTAGAGACACTATTTCCTTCGACAATTTCAAGAAAGTTTCGCCTGCAGGTTTCTTTCTTCGCATTGCATGGTAACAGAATAGTTCTAGCGACTCAGAGTCATCCAATATTTGAACTTCGTACAAGACATTAACATGAGTCTCAGGCAGAGCTCGCGTATCCCTTGATGTGACTAATATACGGCTTCCCTCATGGAACCATTCTCTTTTGCCAATTAGAGTATCGAGCTGCTTCACATCATCCACATCATCCAGGATTACCAGAGCACGGTTTTCACTAACTGTTCTTCTGAAAGCAGAAATATCGTTTCCAACCACTGTTTGAGAGGAAATGTCACTTATAATTCTGTTTCTTAGAGAAATTAAGCCCTCATCTTTGGATGAAACTTCTCTAACACTTGAAATGAAGCTGCGATGGTCAAAATCCACAACGATTCTGTTAAAAAACGCCTTCGCTAGGGTAGTCTTACCAATCCCACCCATCCCATGCAATCCCAATACCCTCATCCCGTTGGATCTCATGTCTAACAATTCCAACAGTTCTTCAATGCGAGCATCGAGTCCAACGGTAAACTCAGCCACACCAACCGGAGTATTAATTAGTTCTTTCAGAATCCTTTGTACTAAAAGTCCAATTAGATGGTCTTCTTGGCTATAACAGGAAATAAGTAAACCACTAAGTGAAGTCAGAATGGCTAAAAAAATAGAACATAGCGTAGAGAAAAGTAGGAAGTTGTAAATAGATGTAACTCGTGAACTGATATTAATCGCAACTGTTTAGTATTTACATCTACCTACTCTTCCCTACGCATAGTAATACTCAGTAACAGAGAAGACCTGGGATTCTGGAAAACCCAACCAGCAAGTCCACCTACTTTCTTCATAGCTTTCCTCCACCTGATTACCTCATCTTCGCTCCTCTTGGCTTCATGAATTTTGAAAGAATCTTCAAATGGACCTGTTTGTTCGAGGACATCAGTGGGGCCTACGTAGTAGAACACCGGCAGAATCAGTCTTTCGCAGTCGCAAATCTTGGCAAGCTCCTCCAGACACCAATGAGAAGAGGCGTAGTCAGGAGAGATGATGATGATCGAAGAGGCCGAGTCATCGATGGCTTCGAGCAGACTCGGAGCTATCTGGTCCCCGCGATCCAACCCAACATCGTCCAGGAAAACTCGAACGCCGCGAGATTGGAGCGCCTTGTGGAGGGGTTTTGCGAGGCAATCACGAGTATCCGCACCTCTGAAGCTCAGGAAGACGTCCCAAGGGAGCCTGAAGTCTCCCGGAGTCGACGACATGACGTGGCCTTCCGGTGACATTTCTGTGTGACGAGTCTGTATTGCTTTTGTGGTGGAGAGCACTTCCAGAACTGTATGGACTGTGACTTCACGAAGATAATACAGATACTTTCCGGCGGAATTGGGGCAAGTTCCGGACGGAATCGGATTCTGAATGTTTATCGTCGAAGAGGGGGCAATTTCGAATTCTCTGCGCACTTTGCTTTGAGTGGAAATTGGTAGACTTCTTAACAGATACTTTCCGGCGGAATTGGGGCAAGTTCCGGACGGAATCGGATTCTGAATGTTTATCGTCGAAGAGGGGGCAATTTCGAATTCTCTGCGCACTTTGCTTTGAGTGGAAATTGGTAGACTTCTTAACAGATACTTTCCGGCGGAATTGGGGCAAGTTCCGGACGGAATCGGATTCTGAATGTTTATCGTCGAAGAGGGGGCAATTTCGAATTCTCTGCGCACTTTGCTTTGAGTGGAAAGGGGCAGACTTCTTAACTGTTCAAATGCAACAATTGTATCTCTTGTGCCGTTATAAACGGTTCTATCACGGCGATTCCTGTTCAGTGCCTTAGTGGTCGCCGTACGTACGAGAAGGGAAAGTTTCCACCAGGACCCAACATTAAAATGATTTTTGGTCAATATTATTTCAAATCTTGGAGATTTAATCTATTTTTAAATATTATCTCTGGTCCTAATTATAAGAGCCAGTCGATTAATTTGAAAAGATTAAGGAAGTAAGTTAAGTTAGTTATTTGTCCTAAATAGGTGTTGTTTTTCCTAAAATATCCTTGTTAATCAAGTGTATTGACTAGAACTATCATTGTTAGAAGGGCTACTTTAGAAAAAAAAAGTATAAATATGAGAGATAAAGTGGATTGAGGTCTTATATTTAAGATCAAAATAAAAGTCAAACAAAATCTTATATCAAGGATCGGAGGTAGTATAAGATCTCATTCAATTTTTTCTCCAATGCTTATTGATTTTGTCTTCAAGTAATCCATATGGTGATTACCACTCTATTCCTATTTATAAGTCATTTGTGGGGGAAAAAATTTATTTCCAAATGCAAGTTATTTGTAGGGTAATTAATAAGCTTTTTGTAATTTGATCCCTATTAATTTAATAAATGCTGAGAATGATAAAGTAAATAAGTGAGAGAAAATATAAAATATATTTTTAATATTATTTTATTTTTATTTATAAGTCACCCATATCCCAAACTTGCAAACTAAGAAATGTATTAAATTGCTAAATTTTCCACATGTGCCATTACATACTAAAGAATGAGTATTAAAACTATGTTTTATATTTTTTTCAACCTATTTACTTTGTCTCTCTTTATGTATTTATTACGTCAACATGAGTAAAATAAGAAAAAAAGCCATTAATTACCCTATAAGTGACTTATAAATAGAAATAAAGTAGTACTTTTTTTTTAATAAGTGCAAATGTGAAAAAAAATTATTAATTTAATGCATTTCTTAGTTTGCGAATTTGGAGTATAAATAGGAACAAAATAATATACATATTAAGGAGTTTTTATTATTGGTCGTTTCAATGGACATTATTAACAAAAATATTTTAAGAAAGATAATATCAGTTTATTACAAACAATTAACTAAGTAATTTTTTTAACATCCATAAATTAATTATTTAGCTCTAATATTACATTAAAGACTGAAAATAATACTATTATTAGTTCTTATATGTTGATCAAATTTTGGCTTTGTTCGATGGAGTTTTAAATACTCTAGTTGGTTTTGTTAGTTTCATAATGAATGGATGTTGACGTTAGTCCATTTACACATGAAGGGATGAATTGTGGTATTAATGCATGGATGCTGGTGAAAACATAGTAATTGTTTGTTTTTTTTTAATAGAAAGACAAAATGATATTAAAATAACATTAAAGAAATACAATAGTCCAGGAAGTACAGCCAGATTCCAACACGTCTAAAAGAGAAAGAACTAGATATAATACCAAAAGAAACATTCGGAAAAGAAGAAAGCAAATTCCTTATATCCGCTACTAAGCCCCTACCAAGTGCCCGGGTGTAAAGATGAAGCTTGAGAGTCTTGCCCACTTGATTAACTAGCAAGGAACGAAATGATGAGTGTGTTTGTATCCCGTAGAGAAGAATCCAACAGACTGCCACTCGCAGACAAAAAATAATAAGAAGTTTCCTATCCAATCGATGATGTGCGACGGAGATGTGCACTGGACTCCCATTGTTGATTTAAATCATAGCACAAACTGTGGGAGAATTCTTTATGCATTTCCAAATCAAGATGACCCAGTCAGCGCAAATGCTATTGACTAAAGTTTTATCCAGAGTAGGGGTTCCTTTTTGCTGATGTAATGGATTGTCAAGAATAGCCAACTCTAAGTACTGCATGTGGCCAAAAAAGGGTACATTGCTTGATGAATCAAGCACTCCTTGATGAATAGATTGATTCCTTGCATACCAAATATGATTAAGAAGAATGATAATTCTATGTGCTTGAGACTGAAGATTCTCTTGATAAAGAGAGGTCAAAGTTGATTTCAAGTTTTCAACCAATGCTTGAATTCTGCAAATGAGATATAAGAGGGTCTGATAGAGAAAGCACCAAACCAGAGTGCTCGTGAGTAAGGGCAGCAATAAAATAGATGCTCTAATGTCTCTTCTACATTGCAACCAAAGGAGCAAAGAGTGGAAGCAGTCAAATGGCGGCCTTGAGGCCATTGCAGGCAGGCAAAGCATCATGTAAGAACTTTCAAATAAACAAGAGGTACTTAGGAGGTTGAGAAACGGACCATAGGAATTTCCAGAAATGATCTAAAAAACCATCGAATTGGTAAGCAGTATGTAAGAATTTCCTATAACCCCACTTTGAAGAATAGCAACCTTGAGAGTTAGCCGCCCAGTACAATTGATCCTCATCGTCTTGGAATGGAAATGGCGTGTGCATTATTGCTTGAGCTACGTTGGGCCCATAAATGGAATAAATTAGATGTTTATTCCATTGCTTCGAATAAAAATTGAAAGGGGTACGCAATATAAGATCCGACACACGTAATAAGACAGAGTTGAATCTTGCCGCATGATCCACTACTAGAAAAAAAAAACCATTTAAAAGCTGTTAAAATAGGCTTTTTTTACCACGGTTTTGGAGTTGCAATAAATTCTATCAACGTTGTAAACAAAAAATTTCATCGCAGTTATAACCGCCATGAAAAGAAGACTTTCCACGACGGTTTTAAATAATAACAAACGCCGTGGAAAGTATGATTTTAACGGCAGTTACAACAATATGTAACTGCTGTTAAAAATTCATTGCACAGCGTTATCCAAATAACCACCGTGAAGTGGCGAATGTTTTTTTTTTAGAGATGACAATCAATTTTCTATGCAACTTTCTTGCAATACCAATTGCAGACTAGTTCCAACTAGCATAACAGAAGAATGCAAAACCATTTCAAGACATATACTCAATCCTAACACTAACTTAACTAATATTTTCGATTCATATTCAATCAACTACACATAATAATAAACAACTTAACTAGTTAATATTTAAACTAAACATATATAATAAAACAAGTGAATGACTTAATTATTTCACATTTCAAAACTCTCAAGTAATATTGTTGACAAAGTATCCCTTATTACAATTTCTCCAGGGTCATATGGGTAGAATGCCTGTAAAGTCATTAGTCAACTTGATAAAAAATGTGAACAAAATTGAAGAATTACAATGTAATCTATATTTACTTTGTCTGACTTCCTGGTAATCTCCATCTCAATAATATCATTCATATAACAAATGACATAATATTCACATTCAGTGTCACATCCCAATTTTTAGGCCTAGAAACTTAGAGAGTAGCCTAAATAAGGTAGGCTAGCAAGTCCCTTGAGCAGAAAACTCAAAAATATCACAAAGAGAGATAATGATATTTTTAGCCAAAGAACCACTAGCAAATTTACTGTGGGAACTAAGAAAGCTCCATAGGCTAAAGTGTAATTAAAATTAAAGGTTCTAGTATAGTCTCGAGGGCTCAAAAAGAGAAAAGAGATTAGATATCAACCTAAGATTGAGGTAGAGGTCTCAAAGTGATGATTTATGAAGTTGAGCCAAAGCAAGAGCAAAACCGTAATTTCAAAAAATTACGAGCCAATGGGGGTAATCATGAAAAGTATAAAGAAAATTTCAAAAAAATTTCAAAAAATGGGAAATGAAGTATAGAGATCCTTTGATGAAGATAAATGACAAAAATACCCCTACAATAGCTTTAATGGGATTTTTAGTATAGTGGCTTAGTTTGAGGTAATTATTTAAATGTAATTATTTGAGCAATGAAGAGGCTTGAAAAATGTATGTAAAAATAGAAAATAAATAGTTAAGGGGCTAAAGAAGTTTATAAAATTAGTTTTATCCCCAAAAGGCGAATAGAGTGGCTTTAATAAAATCTAAAGTCCAGTTATGCTCCTAAGAGGAATTTTACGGGAAATTCAAAAAGAAATAGTTATGGCCCAAAAAAATTCATACAATTTCCTATAATTAAAGGAATTTTATGCAGTAGACAAAAATTTTTTTGAGCTCTAGAAGGCCATTAAAAAAGTCAGATAAATGTGAGCTAAATAAATTAGGAAGAATCTTGGAGTTCAAGTTTAATCTAAGGGTCAAGATCTAATCTTCTCCCTTTCTTTCCATGAGATTTTTACACATGGCATGGTGAGGCAAGAAAGAAATTTGATGATGTCAAGGGCATGATGTCATGAGGACACTTGGCAAGTTCTTGTGAAGGAAGACTTGAAGCTTGGACAAGTAGCTTTGGAATTGTCATATTTTATCAAGGGTAAAGTTGACAACCCCTGTCATAATTCTTGGCTATAAATACCCCTTTAGAAAGAGCATTTTAGCAAGTATTTGTAGAGGGAAAACTCTGCATCAAATTAGAGAGAAAAATATAGGGGTGAAGGCTAAGAAGAAGGAACAAGATTCAAACTTCAAGATCAAGGTATGTGATAATTCTAGCACCTGTCTTAATGCCTATTTCGATTAAGTTTCTATTCAAATCTGATTCTAAAATTTGACATGATTAAAGTACAATCTCTAAGTTTTAAAATGAGAAGTAGATCACCTCAATTGAATGTGTACATAAGGAGATATGATTTTCTAAAGTTGAGGCATAGAATCTGGAAGTT